ATAACAAGTACAATTGGCACATAAACACCACTATCAGCTTGCATCTGTTTGTAACGTTAACTGTCAATTATTGAGAAACCAATTAACTAGTCTGGAGGTTATGTGGGTCTCCTGTAGCCTGCATTTTGGCCCCTTCAGTCCCCATGGAACATTAATCAAGGAGTGTGGAAATGGTCAAGCAAATACTGTGAAAGAGAGATTATTCAATTGTGCTGTGTGTAAGTGAAGTTGGATAGAAATTAAAAATATGTATTTCAGTGCATTTTGGAATTATATAAAGATAGAAATATGCATGATGGCCGTAAAAGGGGCTTCCTTTTATATTATATAAATGTTTGCAAATGAGCAGTAAAATGAAGATATTATGATGCGAGTAAAATGTAAGAGTGCTATTTTTCTTGTATTAAAATTGAGTCAACAAATTGTTACCAAATGTTTACCCTTCTGTAAAAGAAAATGTCTAATCATTCAATTCTAGACAGGAACTCAGAGATGGAAGGCCCCGATTATTCTGTTGACCTTAGGCCAGGATTTTGAAATATTTTACATTCACTTAACAATAATTGTAACCAATCTTGGATATTTTTGAGGTAACTACAAATAGATCTAGGCTATTGAGGAGATACAAAGATTGATTTGGCATAACATTTAATTTGTATTTCTTTATACTAGCTTGAGGAATAACCTGTTAAGTCACTATTCCTAAAGTCTGTGTAAATTAGACATTTATTTGAGGCATAATTTTGCATTAAATTGCATTGCCTCAGAATCCTTTAAGAGCAATCTGTGGTGGCTCTTAAAAATTTACCTTTACGGGATTCCAACTATTTCCCTATTACTCACTGAGTAGTAATTGTTCTACAAACAAATCATTAAGAATCCTAATATTAGTATTTAAAAGAACATTTTAGTGAATACCTTAGTATTGGTTTACAAAGCCAAATGTTTTCAATTTGTGGAATCTTGCTACAAATATTAAATTTACGTCTTGATATATAGGTATATATAATATATATTTATATATATTATATATGTAATTGGTGCTTTACCCCAGAAAGTGATGGAGAATTTTAAGTTTTGAAATCCTTTAGAACCAGGGTTGGTGAACTTTCTTATAAATGGCTAGATATAAATATTTTAGGCCGTGAGGTTCAAGAGGCAAAGTTGAGGGTATTATATAGATACTTATATAACAAGAGAGGAAAGAAATATTTACAGTTTTTTGTAATACAGGTCTACTAATGAGCACAATGAAATTTGTAGATGGACACTGGATTAAGAATTTCCTATAATTTTCATGTTTCATCAAATATTATTCTCCCATTTTTTTTTCAATCATTTAAAACTGTAAAAAACATTCTTAGGTTGCTGGCTGAATTTGGTTTACTGGCCCTACTTTGCAGAGCCTTACTCTAGAACAGAAATTCTTAACCACTAAATAGTTCATAACCCGACACCAGAGGTGAGTGTCATGGGGTCCTTGATCTTGTTGGGATCACAAGCAACATTTTTTGCATACATGAATTTTTCTGTGGACAGAGTCTGCAGCCTTCATCTGACTCTTGAAGAAGTCATGGACTCAAAAAAGATTAGGAGCCACTGTTCTCTAGACATTTCATTAATTCTTAGGACACATTTACTGAGTGCCTGATAGTTCCTAAGTACTCTGCAAGTCACTGGAAACACATGGGAATTTCTACTGCAGGAACTGATACTGCTAGAGACATGGGGATAAATAGTTGTTAGGTAGTCTTGTTCATAAAGCCTGTTGTCACCATTTTTGCTGGTTGACAAGACTCAGAAAGATGAAAATTTATACCTGGTTATGGGAGGGACAGCCTTCTCTTATTTTCAAGTATTTAGTAAATGATTTAGGTTGGAATTTAAATATCTGAAACATTTAAGTGTTCAGACCATTTCAGGCTATAAAGATAAATCAGAGTCAATGTGTTTAAAACCTTTTCCTGTACAATAAAAATTAACCCACAGATAGGTTCATGTTAGCTCAACTGACATCAAGGGCTGAGATATATGTAGAGACAGGATTAAAGTTGCTTATTAAAGCTGAGCTTGTGAGCTTGCAAGCTGCTTGATTTAACCCGTGGCTGTTAGTCAATGCTAAGCCCTTGAATGTTCAAATTCATGAAATGGAGTAGTTACCCTGGGGCAGAGGTGGTGGTGAGAAAACAGAAATGTCCAACTGAAAATAAATAAACCACTCAGGAGTTCCTGCCTCTGCCCCAGGATTGAGAATGGAATAGCTTGCTTCTTCTCAGTAAACAGTGTTATAGAATGTATTTCATACTCAAGGAGGAAATGGTCAGAAGAGCTAGGACACTCATTTTAAGATCTAAAGATAGCATAGTATAGTTTGTGGTAAAACCTTTGAAAAACCTAAATGCTTTCAGCAATCCCTTTACATTTTATATATAGACGAACCATTAATTTATAGCTTTTTTCCATACATGTGGAACAAATAACAAATCTAAGAAAGTTTAAAAGTATTCCCCCAAAAAAGCAGAATTTAGCTAGGAGAATCTCCCTGGTGAGTCACCCCAAAAAAGAAAAGAAAAAAATTACAGAAGTAAAAAGCTACCATAAACAGAAAGCATTGCTTAGACATATATTAGACTTCAATATTGTTAATTGATCAGCATTTATTAGTGATTAATAACTTTTTAATCTGGAAAATTCTCCCACCTCCAGGTCTTTCAGTTCAAAAATTAGTAGATGCAATAATGGTCCCGCTCAATTTTGTAAAAGGCAAAAGCAAAACGTATGCAGGAGAATGGGATAGTGACTTCAGTGAGAAATTTACCAGGAAAGTCGGAGACAACAAAAACTCAAGTGAAGTGCACTATTGTGTGCTTCAAAAATGGAGTTTTTCTCACCAGAGATTCTTGCTGATCTTGAGATGACTATGAATCATTACATTGATAAAGTCTGCTTTATTGCTGAAGCCTGCCTGGGTGGCTGTTTCCGGAAAATTTCCTTCTCTTCATATAAAATAATGTCACATCAGCTAGTTCCTGAGCTTAACATCTCATTCCATGACAAGTATCCCATATTCCTGTAGTCTTTTACATCATAAGACCTAGTTAGACTGGGTCAGCCCTTGGCTATTTGCCCCCAAACTTTAGAGTCCCTCTCCTGACTACTCCATCATCTTTCCTGGCACCTGGCATTCCCTTTCTACTTAAACGTCTTGGCAACCATGCCTTTTTTACTTACCCCCGTGAGTCTTGCCAGTTTTTTGGTGCCAGATCCTTCCTGCCCTTCCTGATGTCGCAATCAGCTAATTTGATAAACTCACCTGAGGTAGAACACTAATAGGGGAGTGCTTCCTTCTAAGCTGAATATGGTTTATAACAGACTCTTCTTGGAATGCTATGTGGGTAACAATTTCAAATCTGTGTGGGGATGGGGCAATGAATATACATTGCCCCTCACTTTATATTCCACAATCTGTATTTAGAGTTGTTTCTATTAATGTAACTTAGCAGATATGGGCACAGTTTCGTAAATGCTACAAATTCAGGGGGTTTTTTCACTGAAAAGAATTGTAAGACGCAAGAAAAAACACATGTGATTAGTAATACACAGTGAGACACCACCAGTTTCACAATAACTATAGAGTCATTATTAGAAATATACGACATTTAGTCATGATTTAGTATTCATTAAACTTTTAAAATGTATCATTGAGTATATCTGTCAACCAATCATTCACTAAGTGTTGGGCGCTATAGGGGAGATGAGAACTATCAAAGCAATAAAACCACATTGATAAGAAAAGATACCCACATGTGGAACAAACTGGAAAACAGCAAAGTGATAAATAATATGGCCACAAATAATAAAGGAAATACACATATTAAACTTTTTGGTCCAGGATCTTTGAAAATAGAAAAAGCAGTAATAGCTTTTTGTATTTTGGAGGCTTTGTTTTTTTTACGAGTTACATTCTAGTTTGTATACCATATAATCCTGTTATCTTATCTCTTTCTGCCTAACAGGGATTCCTGTAGCATTTCTAGTGCCTTCTTTTGAACTATGAGTATCATCTGGCCCCCTAGATAAAGACAAGGCTATGCAAGTCAGATTAGCTTGTGAAACAGGACCTCTAGGATGACTACAGTAAACAATAATTTCTGGTACACTTAAAAATAACTAAAAAACTATAATTAGAGTGTTTGTAACACAAAGGAATGATAAATGCTTGAGGAAATAGATACACCATTTACCCTGATGTGATTATCACACATTGTTTGCATGTATCAAAATATCTGATATACTCCATAAATATAGATGCCTACTATGTACACATAAAAATTAAAAATTAAACAAAAATAGGACCTCTAATTTAAAAAAATAACAAAATATAATGGACTGTACTAAACTCATTGTAGGTAGATATTAAAGGACTCACTTTTTCTAATTTACCCCTTTCTTCCTGAACTCCTTCCTGTGTTCCATAATTCTCAGCGGACCAAGAAGAGAGAAGCACAGCCAGTGTTTGGTCATACAGATGGGGCCTGTGGCAGGACACACTGCCTTAACAGCCAAGCAGTATTGATGGGGGAGAGGAAGGAGGAAGGAAAGGGACTGAATGCAAAGGCCATGCCTGTGTAAGGAAACAAGGAAGACAGTCCATATATGTAAAGTCATTGTTGACATGGCTTTTAGGGAAAAAAGAAAGAGTTGAAGGAAACATGTTTGGAACAGACTCTAGCGATGAGATTTAATTTGGCTAATTCATGACTCTTAAAATCATGTGGCTTATTTTATCAGCTTACAATAAAGTTATTAAATAGATCTGTTGGCTTAAAAGCAACTCCTATATGGCAATTAGTATAAGACTAAAAATAAATCAGAAGAAACAATGGTAGATTTTGATGTGGTGTAAGTAATTTTGATGTTTCTGAAAGAATGCCTCCATGTGTAATGATAGGAAGAATCTGTTTACCTCTAACATCTTTTTTTCTCTTTTAACCATACAGGGTTCTTTTCCTATGGCTCCGTCACTTCCAAATCCTCCCATGGCTTTCAATCCCTACATACCACATCCTGGGATGGGCCTGGTTCCCGCGGAACTTGTACCAAATACACCTGTTCTGATTCCTGGAAACCCACCTCTCGCATTGACAGGAGCCATTGGCCCAAAACTGATGCGTTCAGATAAACTGGAGGTATTTGTGAAGATATCTATAAATACCTGTGGAATAGATATTAACCTTATGCATAAAGGAACATTCTCAGAGCCCCATGTGTTGTGTGTTTTAAATAAGAGTACCCAATTTTTTTAGCTTATGGGGTATAACCTCAGAAAAATGTTAAATAATTTTACTACTGCAATCATACCTTGATATAACGTGCATTGATTCAGCTGTATCGCAGATCAAACAATATTTTAAGTATACCCAGCCATAGACTGTGAGATGGCACAGGAAGCCTCTGTGGGAATGTTCCTGTTACCCAGGCTCCAGCTTTCAGAAACAGATTACTGTATTTGTTAATGAGTCCCTACTTGCTAGAATAATCAAAGTGGGAAAAAAGTAGACAATATAACTGTATGATTGCAGAATGTAAAGCTATATGAATACAGAAGGTATATAAGTCTCATAGTGCCTAAACTTCTTTCTCCATTTTAAGACTGATGTGCTAGGTAATAAATACCCCAGATGCCTAAGAAAAGAAAATCTAAAAGAAATTTCAAACAGCTTTTTGATTTATTGAAGTCCTTCATTCTTCTCTTGTTATTCTTTGTACATTGAAATAACTAGTCTTTTCTTTACAAAGTCAGCTCCATTTGCAGCCCCTTAAATGCCTGGTGATGTATTGTAATAGAATTTGATTGTACATATAACTCAGTTATAGCTCACAAGTTGGCTATGGAAAACCACCAATGCTCTGCTGTGTGATAAAGACTCATCTTGGACTTTAAAAACAACTAATTACTTTTAAGACTGTGTATTAACTGGAGGATTAAAACTGGTTTTCAGTAATACTTTTAAACATCTTTATTTCAATGTAAGGACAACCTTCCTTTGGAGAGAATAGCAATTTTTTCTGGGAATAGAAATTCTGTCTGTTCACATCTCATGGTGAATATGGCTTTACATTATTCTTTATCTTTTTAAATTTGTTCTTAAATAATATATCCAATGTATGTATAATTACTCTTACATTCACTGGCAAAATAAATAAAAGCCAATGAGCTTCCAGTCATCAATATGATATGTGTGTATATGCGTGTGTGTGTTCTAAGGTTTGCCGAGAATTTCAGCGTGGAAATTGTACCCGTGGGGAGAATGATTGCCGCTATGCTCACCCTACTGATGCTTCCATGATTGAAGTGGGTGATAATACTGTGACAATCTGCATGGATTACATCAAAGGTCGATGCTCCCGGGAGAAATGCAAGTACTTTCATCCTCCTGCACACTTGCAAGCCAAACTCAAGGCAGCTCATCACCAGATGAACCATTCAGCTGCCATGGTAAGAAAAGACCTGCACTTGTGGCCTGTTTCAGAGTAAATGATTTGTATATTCCTCAATTTGTCTAATATCCTGTAACCATAATAATGGATGGTCATGAGTGGACCTTAATATGAACAGTCAAGGTTATAAGCTGGAAAAGAACAAACCTATTTATTCTACATTATGTACTAAGATTTTCTAAAGATAATTATTTAAAAGCTTTACTAATGCCTTTAACCTACTGTGCTCTTTTTCCCATTTTCAGAGAAAGGATAAATTATATGATTTAAACAGTCAGTTATTTTTGAGTGCTTTTATAGTTTCACTACCCTCAATATCCTAGAGAGGCAGAAAGTTGCCTCTGCTCTGTGAGCCACTTTCATGGGCACTTTGCTACTAACATCCTTAGTGCCTTTTTTTTTTTTCAAGTTAACATATTCAGGTTTTATAATTATGTATTATTTCTTTTTTTTTTTCCATTTATTTATTTTATGGCATTTTAGGTTTGGGGGTACATGTGAAGAACATGCAAAATTTTTGCATAGGTACACACGTGGCAGTGTGATTTACTGCCTTCCGCCCCATCACCTACATCTGGCATTTCTCCCCTTGCTATCTCTCCCTTTTAAAACAATGCACTTAAAACATAGGATATTAAGTAGGTTCCAATTTCCTAAAGGTTAAGGCCACCTTCCTCTCTGGAAGCATAGTATCAAGGAGAGCAGCCTGCTTAGTCTAGAGGGAAATTTTTATGTGGTTGGAAGCAGAGGCTGACTTTTTTGTTTGTTTGTTTGGTTGGTTGGTTGGTTGGTTGGTTTTTTTGTTTTGAGACGGAGTCTTGCTCTGTCACCTAGGCTGGAGTGTAGTGGCATGATCTCGGCTCACTGCCACCTCCGTCTCCCGGGTTCAAGCAATTCTCCAGCCTTAGCCTCCTGAGTAGCTGGGACTACAGGCGCGTGCCACTGCTTCTGGTGAATTTTTGCATGTTTTTGTAGAGACGGGGTTTCACCATGTTGGCCAGGCTGGCCTTGAACTCCTGACCTCAGGTGATCCACCTGCCTCAGCCTCCCAAAGTGCTGGGATTACAGGCATGAGCCACTACACACGGCCCAGAGGCCTAACTTTTAAGTTGCAGTAGAAAGCCAATTTTGGGGGAACAGTTAGTGTTGTTTAGTAACACTGAAAGGTAGGAAGCAGGAGAAATACTTGTGTAACACTGCAGTGTGATCGCTTAAAACGAGCGATTCTCGTGACTGAAGTTTGCCACAGCTGTCCATTGTTTTGATGTGCTGCTTGCTATATCTTTCTTTTTCTACCTGGACCTTTCCTCGTGTAATAAGGCATAACAGCCCCAATAAAGGACAAAACCCACAGGAAACCTCATGTTCCCTGGGTGTAGAAAAAGCACTGAAATGACCCTGAAGCCTAGTAGATGCACTGTGAGCTAAATCTCCTCGCAAACATTCATAGTTCAGACTCCCATGGCAGAGACTTTGCCTATTCACAACAGAGAGACACTTATTTTCAAACATCCCTATTAAGAAGGTTTTCCTCATACTGAGTTGAAATTTATCTTGCTGCAACTGGAACTTCACAAAAGAAGTCAATCTCTGTTCCAAGTGACAGTGACTGTCATGTTTCCTCTCTAAGCCAAATGCTGCAAATTTCTCCTACTTTTCCTCGTAGATTATGGTTTCAAGGACACAGTACCGTTTTCGGACTGGCTCCGCATTTTTTTTTAGAGCTGAACTCATTACATCGTGAAGGATCTGAGCACCAAATTAGAACAAACTTATTTTCTCCCTTGATCGGAACAACGTAGTCTGTTAATGAATATTAAAAAAGACTTTACCCAATGCTTTTTGTCTTAAATGCTTTTGAATGGGAGAATTTTCAGCTATGAAAATGGCTTTGTATGCAGCTGTCCATTTCTGATTATTTGAATGCGTTTGATAGAATGCAAAGGTTACAAGACAGCCCCAAATTTCCATGTAGAGAGCTAAATATTACATCATAGATCTTCAGTTGTTATTTGTGAATATCAATATAAAATTCCCTTTTAAGTAACTGATCACAGCAGGATCTTAGCAGTGAGATCAAGTTGGCCCACAGGAATTTGATAGAGGTAAGATTAAATAAAGGAGGGATTCACGAAGAAATTCAAGGTTTTTGTATTTTTTAAGGACTCATAGGGGACATGCTTTGTAGAAGAGATTTTTACCTTGTTCATACATATAGCTCAGGTTGAGTTCACAAAAAGCAGTTTGTATTAAAAAATAAACAAAAAAAGACATGAAGGGTTGATATTTAGTTCATCCACAGTCTCTCACCTCTTTGAGAGGTTTATGAGTTTAATAGTACAAGTACCACCCAATCGGAACTGGGCACTGACCCATCAGGATAAACCTCAGCCATAAACAAGCCGTACTACCTTACCAGCATCTACCTGTCAAATGTTCATCTAGGTTTCGCCCCAATTTGTAGTTTGCTAGGCAACATAACTGTGGTTCTGATGATCATAGCATGCTGTCAACTTTCAAGAGACAGGGATACTCCCCATTTATACCAAAGGGAAATCTTTTTAACAATCCGTTAAGTAAGCCTTCTGCCTTAGTCAGCTAAAATGTTCAGCAAAACCATTTTCTCCCAATGGTGATAAAAAGCATTTGAAATGATAGATTTTGTTTTATGGTTGGTGATTTTAGTCTTGACCTTTGTCATCTGGCCTGCTGGGATAAATTTGGAAATTTTATATCTCTAAAATTCCTCAACTTATTTTATCTTACTCTTCTGGCATGCTTCTCTTTATTTAGGTGAAATAAAAAGCAGACCTGTTACAATGTGTGCATTAACCTAGAGTTCCCAAAAGAAAATAGAGATACGTTGAGACCTTTGTTATTCACAGGAACGAGGTCATGGTATTACCCTTTGGACACGTGGCAGGATGGTTACTGAACACAAGTATTCCTGTTTCCTTAAAAATTTGGAACATACCTAATTGTTGTTGCTGGGACATGTTTATTAAGTAACGTGCAATTTACTGAGAGAAAAAAAAAAAGTAAAGTAGTGTTAAACTTCTCCAAAGAATATGATCCAGGGGCAAGTTTGACTGAGTATTATAAGCACAGTGGGATTTTGAAAAAACTGTAGACATGAAAGGATACTTTAAAAATGCTAACAGCTTATAGAATTAAACCTTACAAGAACTTAACAAAGCAAATGGTACATGCTGAAATGCACAGCAAGCCTCTATGAATAAGAACTGCATATATTTTGCTAACTATCTATATAGTATCTGGATGAGGTAGGTGGTGGGGGAGGAAATATTCATTTGCTTCTTCCTTACATGTGAGGAAATATACAGTTTTAGGATTTGAACTGGAAGTCTTTGTATAAATTGGATTTTATTTTATGGGATGACAGTGTCAGACTGTCATCTACCAACATCTGTTTTATCACCTATGTGCCATTTATGTCCTAGATCTGTATTGGAGTTCTATCTGGTAGAAATGTCTTTCCTGCTATATCAGTTGCTTTTGCTAATCTCACTTTTATAGATTCGTAGATGAGTATCCCTGAGATATTAGTTTTAAATGATTGTTTGCTGTAATAGATTTCTGTCACATCCTGCTCAAATGAGGTCTAAATTAGTGAAGTTGAAAACCTTTTTTTTTTGCATTTTTTTCTGTTTTGGATTACTGCTCATCTAGTGGACTGCCTTTTATGTTTTTCCCTTAAGATAGGCTCTCACTCTGTTACTCAGGCTGGAGTGCAGTGGTGTGGTCTCAGCTCACTGCAGCCCTGACCTCCTGGGCTTAAGCAGTCCTCCCTCAGCCTCCCAAGTAGCTGGGACCACAGGAATGCACCACCATGCCTGGCTAATTTTTCTATTTTTTTTGTAGAGATGGGGTTTTGCCATGTTGCCCAGGCTGGTCTCAAACTCCTGAGCTCAAACAATCTGCTGGTTTCAGCCTCACAAAGTGTTGGGATTACAGGCATGAGTCACTGCACATGGCTGTGAACCCCCTTATCTCTGCAGTTGGTTACCTTGCTGTTGGGCCACTGCTTATCCAGTGTCTTGCCCAATAGATACCGTTATGGAGGATTTCCAGGACATACCTTATATAAATGGTGCTTGCTTGGTTTGAGTACATTTGTTACTTTCTCTAGTACTAGTACCATCTCTCGCCCTACAGGCCCTGCAGCCTGGTACACTGCAGCTGATACCAAAGAGATCAGCACTGGAAAAGCCGAATGGTGCCACCCCGGTCTTCAATCCCGGTGTTTTTCACTGCCAACAGGCTCTGACTAACCTGCCGCTCCCCCAGCCGGCGTATATCCCTGCAGGTGAGAACACAGCTCTGGGCACTGCAGCAAGCTTGGTGATGTTGTGAATGTATACAATGCAAAGCAGCTTTCAAAGAGCTTTTGTAGGGGGACTGTCGATATGTATTTTGATTAAAAATAAAACAAGGAAGTTATACTTGTCTGCTGTTATCTAGAACTACTTGTTTTTTTTATAATTCAAGAAAATTCACGGTTTGAAATCAAACTAGGAAAAGGTATCAACATTTTTCTGTTTAGTATTTCTTGGTTTTTGCTTATGGTTAATTCACTTGGTTTAGTCTCAAACTAATTCCCTGACTCTTAGGTATCATTTTCACAGACAGTAAAGTGCTGTCAAAAAAAAAAAAAAAAAGAAAAAGAAAAAGAAAAGAAAAGAAAAGAAAAGAAAAAAAAGGAAGAAAAGTAGAAAAAATTCCCAGCTTCAATATTGTGGAAATGCATTGTCTGTATATTTTTGATATGCCAAAGGTAGTTAAAATAAAATTACCCTTAAATGCACAGTATAGTATAGTTTACATTAAAAAGATAGTTTTAGCCTGTAACTCTTGAATCAGTTAATATAAAATACATAGCAATTTATATTTTCTGGCATTTTGCAGCATATTTTGTTATCCCTTACATTCAGCTATATTTAAAAGCCTGTTTTGCACCAAATTGAATAGAAAATGTTAAGCCAGAAATTTGTTCAAGTAGATATTATATATCAGGGGGAAATAATTTACTTCCAGTGGTTTAGTAGTTTAAGAATGAGCATATAGTCTCTTAGGAATAAGTTGAAAATTCTAACCACTGGGAGTACAGTAGGTTTGGTTTTTTTGTTTTTTTGTTTGATTGGTTTTTTGCCGGAATGCTAAATGCCCCAGTTTGGAAACTATTTTTAAATGAAAATAACATAGATTCAAAAAAATAATTTAGAAATACTTGTTAATACTGGGACTTGAGAAAGCTTATTGGCTAATTAGTAAATAAATCAGCTAATTAATTTTTAATGGTAACACAAAACACCAGTCTTTAATTAGTAACCACAGTAATCCTTCATGCCATCATTTAAATTATACAATTTTTATACATTTACATAATAGTTTCTGAAAGGAAATATGGAATTCTTCAGCACTTTCTTACATCCATTATAATAAGTAGCTGCTGATATCTAGCAATTTAGACATGTTCTCCCAACTTAAGAAAAAAACCACATAATGTCCATTCAGTAAAAGATAAAACCAGTATGAGTTGATATGACTTTATTCCTGGCATTTTTTTTCTTCAAAAATTATGATAACTTACCTACACATTAGATCACTCTACCTTGGCTACTTCCAATTTGTATTATAGCTATGGAATGAATTCAATAGTCAAGGTGGTTGAATATAATAAAATATATGTTCATTATAGGTTTTCTTAATACTACAGTTACTTTGGTTCCAAGTTTGAATTTTTTGCCAGATTTGGCCAACATAAAATCTAGTTTCATAAGCAAAAATGTTAGAAAAATTTCCTTCCCCTTAATTAGTAGCAACATAAAAGCCTGTCCAGCTAAGAGGTCTCTCTTACGGGAAAGCCTGTTTGCCATATATTCATAGTTAAGTCCTACTGACTATGAGACAGTGGAGGAGACAGTGTTAACAGATTAATACTCTAAACAGAAATACAGACACCAGATACAAGATTCTGGAGTGTATTTAAAAAATGGTACATATAATAAATTTAAATTATCTTTCTTATGACAAAAATTATTTAGGATGCATTTGTCCACAATAAATATGTAATTTAAGTGAGCTGATTCTTTTACAGAAAAATTATAGCTCATTTTGTACCTAAGAATCCAAGAATTATTTTGATTACCTGGGTTTCTGATCTTAAAGCTAATCTGTAATTGTAAACATGGGAAATTGTTGGACTTGCATGTGCTGAGTAATTGATATTGCAAAGAAATAATCTTTCTAGTTAAAATAAATGTATTTCTATCAGTAAATCCTTAATAATCAAATATCTCTTTTCTTTACTTTCCATGCTTTTCTGCGTGGTGTACAGGGCCAATACTGTGCATGGCACCCGCTTCAAGTATTGGTAGGTTTTTCTACAAAAATTCTCAACATTTTCTAATCTGAAAAATGTGTTTTTCTGTTGTGACTATGAAAGATGAATGACTGAAAGATGTGGCTGGAAATTTTCTGAGTATGTTAAGGCTTAACATGGTGCTTTCTGTTTTATGTCTTTGTAGCATCAAAATAGCCCTGCTTTCTCAAGTCCTAGTTGGTTGCCACTGTGACCAAATTCTGGCCCTGTCATTTCTCTATTTCTGCCCTAAAAATAGCAACTGAAATATTTTAAAAGGTTCCTTTTTCAATATTTGAAACTAGCCAGAGTGGGCAGTTTTGTTCTTTGCTTAACATGTATTATTTAAAAATTGTAAAATACTTAAAATATCTAACTCGTAAAGTACAATGAAACAATTCCTCTCTGAAAAAGTTATCTATAGGACTTAAAGCATTCAGTGTTCCCATGTTGCAAGAGGATGAGTTCAGCACAGTCAGAGCATTCTGCAGTGTTCTGTAATGAATTCTGCAGTGTCCTAGCCTGAAGCGCCATTGGCACAGAAGCTAGGCACAACAGAATCATTTTGAAATGACTCTGGGTGTTCTGTGATTTTTTAACAAGCAGTTGCACACAGATCCTCTTGTTAGCCACTAACACAATATGGTAGCCATCTTTAAGCCATTTTATTCAGCACCCAATACTGAAGAGCATGAGAAAGGAATGGGGAGTTCACAGCTCCTACAGTCCTCATGGGCACCAGGAACAGGAGAAAATAGCGCTGTTTTATGCAAGGAGAGATGATCCCACCCTGTCCCATTCTATCATCTCATATCAATCCAGGCCATCCCCACCCTTTTGAGAGTTTGCAACAAATTGACCTTTGGCACCTTGGTGGACCAGAGTAGATACAGAGCCTCAAAGGCACCACTAAGAGGCTTCTTGAGAATAAAGGTCAAAATGACAACCACATAGTAGCAGCACTCACTAACATAGTGAGGTCTGAACCCTGGCAATGGAGGTGAGGCCCCTGTTACTGAGGGGTTGACTGTCTTCTGTAGGAATAGTAAACATTTCTATTAATACCAACAGGAGCACAATATGTATACATTGTAATCGTAATGTATACAATTAGACTTCTGCAAGTTTAAGAAATGTGTCTTTGCCTTCATATTTTGTGAGCTTTCTTGGAGATGTTCCCTTGTCCGTTCACTTTCAGAGCTCTGCTTAGGAATGCAAACTGCATTCTTTAGTGAGTCTGCTTCCTGTACAATTGCTGCACTCCCAAAGGGAAAACAAGAGTGTTTGTAGAATTGGCATGTGAGACAACAGGGATGGCTCTGGGCAATGGGTAACTAGAGTTGAGGAGAAGGGATAACTATGGAGTTTCTGTTAATCACCATTTGGGGTATATTCTCAGTTTCTGTGGCATTGCAAATGTCAATTCTCTCTCTCTCTCTCTCTCTCTCTCTCTCTCTCTCTCTCTCTCTCTTTCAGTCTCTCTCTGGCCATTCATTTTCTCTGTAGACTTTCAGAAAATCTGAATTTAATCTTTGTAGACATGATAAATTATTACATATGTGTGCTTGCCATTCACACATTAATTCCCCAGTTTGCTTTCTGAAATGAGCTAGACATCAGAAAGCAACCCGAACACTTTCTAAATGAGGTAGGAACTAGAAACGACAAAGAGAAAACATCCTGCAAGAGATTTCATAGCTACTAACCATTGTAGCTATAATAGTTGCTGTGAGGACAAGATTTACTATGAAGTACTCCATGTATTTGATAAATGGCCAAAGTTTCCTAGGAGTTTGCCAGAGAAGTACTTAAAACCCCGCATGCATCGTTTACTGTATTATTCATATCTGCCCCCCTACCACATACCAACCAGTCAACCTATCATGTCTTTGCATGCAGATCAGGTAAGTATACATATAACTGTCCATTTGCACTTGCAAATCTAGTGACAGCATTCATGTCCGTAAGTGAGCGTAAATTCCAATTTACGATTCCCTAATTCCATTTTGAATGTGCAATCCAGTTACTTGTCTGTTTAGCTTCAGATAGATAGATAGCCCCTGTAACATCGGATTTTTGTTTTCGTATGCATTCATTATAGCTCCTTCTAAAAATTTAGCCTTTTGAGTAAACTACAATGGGATTCTGCTCGAAAACTTACTAAATGTTGAGAATGGTTCCATATTCCATATTGGTAACTATAATTGGCTTTCCCCTTTTCTCTTTTTAATTTTCCCCCTTCCATGCTGTGTTGCTTTGCACTGACTGTGATTGCATGAACACCCTGATGTATTCGTCATTATGATGTCACATTGCTTGTTGCTGTGATACCTACCACACCTCATTCCATCATAAATATCATGGTTGCATAAATCCTCCACGCTCCTGTGTGTTGCTTCTATGGTTTTCAACTGAAAGTGCCCATGATGCACGGTGCTACACCTACCACTGTGTCTGCAGCAACAACACCTGCCACCAACGTTCCCTTCGCTGCAACAACTACAGGCAATCAGGTTTGGCCATTTATTTCAGCTGTTCAGATCGAGATAACTACAATGTTTTGGTAATGCACGGTATATGCTTTTTGGATTGGTGAGATTCTTGTGTGTTTCTTAAGCCATTGTCACATTTAGAGTTTTTATTTGTGTGTATATTCTAGAGTGCTGTATGTGCTTTGCTATTCATCCCAAGATGAATCAGTGGAGTTTTGCTCATTTCTAATTGGTTACCAGATGTCGCTCTTCATATTCTATATCTAATTGTTGGTAGCAGACCAATCCTCAAGTGTATATACTTAATATTTCTTAAATGCTTCCTCATTGGTCAAGAGAAGAATTTATTTTACTGCCATTTTTTATTATTGTGTTTAAACTTTGGCTTGGTACAGTCATCACCTTTCCCTTCAGATCCACTGGAAAGAAAACAAAATACCACATTTCTTTCCAAGACACAGATATCCTTATCATTTCCCAGTGATTGCATTAGAAGTTCCTTCTCATATGGACATTAGATGTGCTTGTTTCTTTGATTTTTATTTGCTTTAGATATTTCTAGGCAGAGTTTACAAGGCAAATTATAAGTCTGGGGGGAGTATTGAAATTATAAGGAGATACATAGAATAAGTATTGTATAATATTAGGGCCATTTTGCCTTATTAAAGTGGTAACCATACTTACAGACTAACAGTTCCACATATATAACAACAAAAACAGAATTATCTTAAGAAACTATTTTAATCTAAAATCTTTTTTACTACTGTAGATGCCCCAATTATCAGTAGATGAACTGAATAGCAGCATGTTTGTTTCACAGATGTAGACGTTCCCAGTAGAACAGTAAGTTTCTTTAAGTATTAATATAAATAACATTTATAGGTTACCTTTTTTATTTGCACAATTGCACTTACTAAAAGGGTTTAGCAAATATTTTCGTTAATAGACATTGCTTGTGACTTAGAGTTTAATTTACACACTATAAGTTTTCCAAATTGAAATGTGAGAGCAAATATGCAATATTTTTTATATGGCAATGACAGCTGGTACTGTCTTTTCCCAATGAGCTTACACATTCTTGAATGTTTTCCTGTTATTAAAGGAATATAATTTGTTAGCCATAGGCACAGATTACTTTTGAGTTGTAATTCTTTAACCATTTTATAGCTTCATTTTTTTTTTTTGAAAATCAAATTTCAGGGTTTCACTGAGATGATTATCTTAAACACAGTAAGGACTATGCTTCTCATGTGACATTGTTTTGAATTTTGAGTGACATAATTTAGTAATTGAGTCATTATTTTCATTCCAATCATGTCTCTTTTTAAAAATTTTGGTGGTGGTTGTTGGATTTTTTTTCCACCTTTACCCTCGATCTCCTCATTGCCTGGTGCTCATTGTGGCACACACTTCATTTGAGCAACCATTCACTTAGAACATGTGACTTCTGAAGCCACTGAAGACTCCTGGGTATTTTAATTAATTCTAGGGACTTACTAAAATAGTGTACCAATTCTGAATTGCATATCTTCGTCATCGAAAGTTTGAAGTTCTCACACCTGGAGTGTGTCATTTGGTTGAAGGAGGCAGCAGTTCTGTTACCTAGTGAACTAATTCCCGAGATCCCAGCTAGCCCATCTTTCCTGTTGAGGACACATGAGCTCAGAACACTAAGTGTTCTGGACAAAGCTGATAGCTGACTGGACATTAAATAAATAGGTCCCCTCGATCATAAGGAAGGATTTTAAAAGGTACCTTTGAGTACATAGGATAAATGAAGGAGCTATAAATTGTAATCATTTCCAGGGGTGTCATTTGGGATAGTGGCAGCTTGGGAATAGCACTAAACATGAGAATGTAGGTTTTGCCAACACTTGCCCAACTTTCATGTGTTGCTTTACATCAAGGTAAACAAAAGTTGTCAAATTAACTTTCCAACAGAGCATGTTTGGGAAGAGCGATTCCTTTTTGCTTGATTTTGTTAGCAAATATAGAGGTATTTGGTAGAACATAATCACTTCAATATGTAATTGAAAATGTCTGAAAATGTCTCTAAAGTTTAAAAATGTAATTTTGTACAATACAATGCCCAGATTTCACAATTAGGCTATTTCTGCATGGCTCTAAAACATTCAGAGAAAAAGTTGAAAGTGTGTTTAATATTTGCATATTTCAAAATGTTTGGTAGCAAACATGTTTTCTCAGTACATGCCAGTTGAAAGAGGTGGACACATGGGTGGACATTCAATGAAAAGTTTTGGCATTGAGTAGATAGATAATGCCTTAAATGTTGGAGTACGTCTCTGTTAGCTTAGGGCAGTTCTCCACATTAGCACTCAAAGGGTACCATAGACTATCATTGTACCATAGACTATCATATGTACATGGCTCTTTCATGATTATTCTCAGTAGTCCCATTTCAATGTGAAATTCAGAGTGGGGATATTTTGGCACTGTTTAACAGACACAACTGGAACAAGACCTGCACTCTATTGATTATTCGTTCAGTAACCCTTCAATATTTCTCACTCTCTTTTTCTTTCTTTTTTTTTTTTTTCCATTTCAGCTGAAATACTGAACAGCAGAGTTATGGAGTATCAGAATCTTTCCATGGAAACCTCCATATGGCCTTTCTATATATATTCTTGTATTTCTTCTTCTACCAACACTACAATAAGCGTGGTACAGTCAATATATTAAGCAAAGCAAACCTGCCAGCCAGCAAATTCAAATAAAAAATAAAGCATTAAAAATCAATGGAGATGTTAAAACAGAACATGAATAGAAAACTAATAACTACCATCCGTCTTATTTGAATTATCAAGCAGAACATGACCATAAAATTTGGTAACTCGTTACATTACTCTTTGTCATTTTCTAATAACCATGCTAAGTGAATTTCCAGAGTGAGCTTTTGGCTTACTGTATACATTCTTGGTGGATAAATTATTCACCTGTTTTTGGTTTTGTTTACAAGATAGTCTATTGGGTTGATTCAGAATGTAACAAATATATTCAGTACCATTTCTTGTATTGTACTGTGTTGTGCTATGTAAGGTTTTTACATGCTGTAGTGTTTTGCTGTATATGTGTGGTATTTGATTTCAACTAAAATGTTATTAGCGGGGAACAAAAGTATATGCTTAAAAACATGACAATTTCATGCAAATATGCTCTCTCTATATAGAATATTTCTGTAGGTTTCTTGGGACTGACATTTAAAATGCCTCACTTTTGAGTGTGCACAAAACCTGCTCATTAACATGCATGTGTATAATTTGTACCTGCAGATCTTACATTGCATAATACAATCAAATTGCTAGATTTTTTAAAGAGAGAAATAATTACCTGCACAAAGCAGAGAACTTCATGAAACATTAACCCCTAATTCACTTTTCTTAAATAGCTTGGAAAATAAGATTTTACCTTTAAATGAATTTCTCAGCATTTATACTAAAAGTTATGTAAAGTGCTCATTAGATTTTTTTGTGTGTGGCTTGAGAATCCTATCTCCTAGGTTGAGTATCTAAAACTGAGCCATTTGTCATCTTCAGCTGAAAAACTGATGCTTGGGAGCTTAAAATATGCTAATTACAAGTTATAAATCAAACAGAGAGATGGGGGCGTGGAAATAGTTTTTACGTACTGGAGGAAAGTGTGTAAAACCATGGCTGTGTCACCTTTTACACAAGCGCCATTTTCCAAATGCAAATGGCTCATGCTCTTTACTCTTTGAATAGCAAATAAGATGCAATCTAGTAAAAGTCAGTCAGGGTGAAAGACAATTGGTTACAAATGAGGACTTTCTTCCTCAAATGGACTATCTTCTGTATTGATCACAGAGGGAGCCTGAGTACAGGTTTGGAGAAATGGCTAGGACAGGAACAGGGAGGCACTTACAAACTATTCCTTGATTTAGTCAAAAGAACTGGGAAAGATGGTTGTAGTTGTCTTTAGCTTCAGTTCAACTGAGTTTCGTTTTGTTAAACAGTTCAGCGGAGGAGAAAGCATCTGTGATATATGGCAAGTGTCCCCCTGGCCAAACTTTAACATTAGAGCCTCTCACATTATAACCATGCCTCTTTTTTGCTTGTTTGGATTCGATTGCCTTTATATATGTTTGAAAATGACAATAAAGAGGGTTTTAGCACCCTTTGGATGAGACAGAGTAGCTATACTCCTCAGAGCTCAACTGAATTCACATTATTAATACCTATGAAATAATTTTATAACAAAATAGTAATTAATTCCTGTGGTGTGTGACATATCTCATCCACTCTACTCAGTTATTAATGTTACTATTATTATACAGTGGTGGAAACATACGATATTTTACATCAACTAATAGATTTAACATTTTCTAGTAAATAGGTGTTCTTCCACCAGAAAGTATAAAACCATGACAAGTAAAAAGTAAATCTGATTGAGGATGCCTTAACCTGGCTAGAAGTGTTTGAATCACAGAACAATGGAGTTAGCAAAATAATTTTCATAGTTGATGGAACTGAGGTCAGGGGCATATGACTTGCCCAAGGCTACCTAGCCATTGTGGGACCCAGAAATATCTCCTGCCTCCAATTGTTCCTTCTTTCCAGGTTTTTTGTGCTTCAGAACATTTGAGGCTCTCTCCCAAGGCAGACCCATTTGGCTCAGAATACAAGAGAGCAAAATTAGCTTTCTGGGAATTGATATTCTGTTGATCGTAATTATCCATCCAAATCTTGATCAACAGTGCTTTCTAAACAGCCTTGCTTGTATTGATCCATTGTCAGCTGTTGACAGTGTTGGTGGGATTAGAGATCAAGAGTTGTCCTGACTTTTACCTATGGACTCTCTGAACCAGTTAATTTCTGTTTCTGAAATCTTAACATTTGCTATAGAAGAAAGTAGCATATGCCTTTTTGAAATTGCTCACGTATGGAACTGAGTTTTGTATGATCTGTGCCAGTGCCTCTCCACAAGAGTAGATCTGATTACATGAATCCAGGAGGGATGCACCTGAGCTAGTATGGATATATTTCTTAAAAGAGACAAGAACTTTTTTGTGCAAAATGAACTTTTGTATAGTTTGACATCTGCATGCAACGTACTATCTCACTTAACTTTTTCAACTTTGGGCAAAGATGTACATAGGCCATAGATAACCTAGAGTATAGCTGTTTTCATGTTGCATTAATCACTGGAAGACATTAACAATGACTTACTTTTTAGTAAAAAGTTCAGTGAGAGATATTTAGGGTGATTGTATTTTTGGTGCCACAATTTTCTACATTGTTGGCATTTTAAAAGTTACTTTGTAACTGAGTGTAAAGAAAGAAAGAAAGCTCAAAGCCCTAAAGTTTTGATCAAATTGAAGAGTTTTGAGAGAAAAAAATACAATTTAAAATGGCACTCTTTAAATTAGATGTGCAATGACTTATTCAAATTATCTTTATTCAAGAAAAGAAAAGAAGAAAGATAAGTCACTAGACTATAAATTTCCATTTAAAAAGACAAGTCACAAAGCGAATCAGTGACTCTAAACAAAAATTTACTGAATGAATTGTATATATAAAATTCTAATCACTTATGATTCTTAGTTAACATTTTATAAGCTTTATATTTTACAGGGGCTTCTTTTTATTTATCCAAAATTATTGCTTTCATCCATTTTTCTCAGCCTTTTGCAAAAATATGCAAGAGTGCTGAAACTTGGATAAAAAGGGTCATGTATACAGAGAAAATAATCTAAAAGTTATCTTTAAGAGGATTTTAGTAGTGTCAACTTTTTAAAAAAGTACTACGTGACCATAACATACATGTATTTTAAAGAGGGATTAAGATTAAATTAAAATAAATGGATTCATAAAATTGCTATTTAAATACAGCATTTACTTTTGCAACTGGAGCATGATTCCAGAACCAGCTGTGGCATTTCATTTCACTTTTCTAGATCAGAGCCTTTAATTTGTAGTTAATCATGATGTGGAAAGTCATCTTCTCTCTACTCCATCAATTTTCTCCATCCATTTTTGAACATGCTGAAGCACTTTGATCTTGCCATAAGTGTTGTCCTTTACCACTAGGCAGTGTTCACTAATAGGAGGGCCTCAAATCACCTGCTCTCCAATTTGGGAAAAAGCAAGTACCTCCTCCCTACCATCAGCAGAAACAGAATGAAATTGATCTTTGCAAATTGAATCTGTTTTAAGTAGCATTACCAATAAGCATAGTGATGTCTGAATAATGAATGATACTTATTACATTTTATTAAATAAGAGAGAAAGTCCTTGTGCTACTTGAAATGTTATTTGGTTCTCTGTCCCCCTTTGAAGAGTATACATGAGGATTCTCTTAGGTAAAATGCAGCCACAAGTTTTCGGAGTTCCTTTAGTCTGTAGGGTAGGCTATGAAGTACATAATAATTAGAAACGGAAATCTTCATTCTTTTTCTCTCAAATACATTTCACACAAATTGAAATAGAAATAGGTAAAATTTATTAGGGAAATCTGATTTCCCAATTCCGATGGATAGACAGTAGACTTGTTTAACCAGTGCCTATAGAAGGCACTAGAATAAACAGCATGTCCAAGAGTATAACAACTTCTTTGTAAATTTATTTGCTAGCCTAATCAAACTGTAAATATAACTCACTAATTGGTACCATGTTTTTATTTTTCTTATTGTTCATTTTTAAGGTTTTATTTTATTGCTTTTCTGTAGCTCTAAGTAACTAATGAATTTAATTTTGAAGGAAAGTTAAAGAAAGTTTAAGCTTTTACTGCATGGATTCAGCTCACCTAGCTAGGTTCTGAACTGACACTGAAGTATGACAAGATACAGATTATAGTCCAAAATTTTCCTTCACAGTTCACAATTTAAGAACAAATGTAACTTTATATACAAATAATCATTGATAACTAATTATATTTAGTTGTTGCTTTGGCGACAAAACTACAACATGGCTACCTTTAGACATTTGTGTGTCTGAACATTTTACTTGTAAACTATAGGTAGTTTGTGACACTATGAGCATGGAGAACATACAGCTCAAAACTGAAAACAGACATGGTTGAGTCCTTTTTTTAATCCCGAAGGCCCATATATAAAAGCTGAATTTGTGTCCTTGTGTGACTTTTTGTGAAAAAGTTTATAACACATGGATTCTAGAATCAGGCTTGATAGTTTATAGAATTTGTTGTGTGGATTGGGTTATTCCACAGTATTGAGACTTCAAAACACAATCATTGCATTTTTAATACACTACCTGACTTTTTTTTATAACTTTATTCAAAATTACTTTATTCAAGTGGCATAGCTGAAGCTGCAAAAATTCTGTTTTCTGGAATTACATACACAAATATATCTACATGAGGATTCAAGCATGACTAAAGCCTCTTTTGAAATTAATTCATATTTTTAAAAGTATACATAAAGATACTGTGGAATGACCCCTTAACAGTGTTTAAGAAACATATGCTGCAGTTAATTGACTGTCTCAGTTAGGGTGCGGATGTGTGAGACACACCTTTTTTGCACTTATGTACATAGTCCATGAAAGCAATCCATGGAGCTTTTTTTAAATGTAAGAAGTCTGTGATAATAGTGGAAAAGTTAGTAAGAGAGAGTTATTTCTAAGGCTTTGAAAAGGAGGGTGTTTTTGCTCTAAGACTTAACTAAAGCATAAAGTTGCTTTGCTGTTATGGAGGCTTTCTAGTTTGCTACAGGTCACCAAAAGAGAAGGCTAGTAACAAGTAACAGGTCAACCTCAGCTAACAGCACTGAACAGGAGTAGAATAGCTTTATCATTTAACAAGATCATTAGCAAAGATTGTTTGCTTTTTAAATTAATCACCACTATAAAACACACACACACACACACACACACACACACACACACACACACACACACACACACACACACACACCCCAGGCAGGTTTCTAGAACAAATTTTCCTTTTTCAGTGGTTGCAAGCAGTGAAATACCTCATTTGTTACAAGATAGTTAGTCCCGTTATGATAGAATCCGATTTCATCTTTCAAAGACAGTGATCAGCTGATATATGTGTCAGTTAAAATGTTTATCAATTAATAGATATTTAAGAGACAATCAAATTGTTAATACTGACCACTGTTCCTCCTTTAAGATCCAGTTACCAGAACCAAATTGGCAACCATTGAAAGATTATATTTAAGGGTTAAGGATGGCCAGCATAGGGCAGTTCATTCCCTTCAACAAAGGAAAAAAAAAATGCCCCTGGCACAACTTTATAACTGGCTTTATTTACATTGTACCTGTTCAGTGGAAGCTGTTTTCTGACCTACCTTTACCAGATTACAAAGTATTTCACTGTGCCACTTCAGCCTCCCACTGTTGTTTTAACTAAACAGAAGAGAACCAGCCAAAATCTTATGTAACACAGGAGCTGGAAGAGAGTGTTTCAGTCTGACCATCTATGCCCATTTTAGCTCCCACAACACCTATAGATAGCCATTTAACTTTCTTTTTGCCCCCAGGCAATGAGACCTAGAATAGGTCAAAGTTAGAAAGGGTAAGCATCTAATCCCCCCAGGTACTTTGAGTACCTAGAGAAGGAGCCCATCCTGGGGTTGGTAGAGTTGCTATGCTACTCGTTTTGATAGTTCTTACTTACAGAGAAAGAAAAATAAACCAAAGCCAGAAAGCAATCCAAGCCTTACAGTTGTCCAATACCTCAGGGCCAGTTGGCTAGAATTTTCTCTCCCTCAGCCCATAATCACTTAGAGTTAGTCATACAACAAACAGCCTGACAATCTGACCAGCATTTCCATTGATATAAAATGTAAGCATTCCTTCATTCTGTAGTTAGGAACTCCAACTTCAGTCTTATCTCCAACATAATTTCCCAATTTAACCTGTGTACTGATATGGACATTTCTTTGTGAATCTTCCAGATTCAATAATATATTTTTCTAAGGTCAATAGAGATATGGCATTTTAAGTCAGGAAAAATCACCTATAAATTAGTAGGAATAACCATAGAAGCATCACAAAAGATAGAGTAGATGGCATGGTGTGCATGTTGACAGCCACCAGGTCATACTCTGGGGTTTCATCATAGAGGCTGTGTTTCAATAAATAAGAAAAATTATGGAATTAATTATAATAAATGCATGTAACTGAGGCCAAAAAAAAATCCTCTATTACTAAGCTCAAGAAAGTATTTAGTTTGACTAATTTGTGCTGTTTCCAGCCCTTTCGCTTGTTCTTGCCTGTAAGAGAATCACTAATACTCAAAAGCTGGATTATTGAAGAGAAATTTTATCTTTAAATAGAATCCATCCACAATTATTATATATGTAAAGAAAAACTGAATCACTATGAAATAAGTCACAGCTCTTTGCAGGTATTGCAAAATCCTCGCTAGGCATCTACATCATGTTAGTTTTTAAAAAAAATACCTCTGTAACAAGACCTAAAAGTAACATAACTATTAAGCAGTGCTTTTTTTCTCCCAAAGCATACAAGCTAAAGATTTATCTGTCATAAAACTGCATGGTTCCAGAGCTTTATTTCTGTGTAGAGATGCTATATGTTAGTGATGGAAACAAATTATTTTGTTGCTATGTCTTTTGTATCTAGCAGTTGAGAGAATGATATGACCATCATATCACTGGATTATGAGAATGAATGCCCTTTTCAAATTGAATTTCTTTTTAATATTATTGTTGCTGCTTTAACATAAAATGAGCCATTTGTTCCCATGCTCCCAAATTACAATGATTTAAATTTAAAAATTTTTAAAGGATTTTCCTAAATATATTCTTTTTTAAAGGGCTAACTTTATGCCTTCATATAACAACAATTTGGAATAATGTGAAAAATGGAAGCACATAATTTGGGTGGAAAATGGCAATTAAAAATACATATAAGAAAATTATTAGCCCTGTGCAACATTATAGATTTAAATAATGACCAGAATATTTCATGAGTACAAATTCTTCCCGTAGTATTTTTCCTCCCAAATGCAATAGCTCATTCCTTCAGCTGCAGATGCTTTGATTTTTTTTTCAAGTTATAGTGCTGTAGTGCTTGTTTATGTTTAAAAGTGCACATTTTGCAACTCATTTTAGTATGCTACTTCTTTGTTTATTTTTTGTTCTTTTAATAAAGTGCATAAACTACTTTGTTATGTCTTTTTTATGAATCCATATTCACTAGGAGTTCATTGAAGGCTACTCATGTTCTAATATTTTAATCCTAATATTCTAAAATGAAATTTAAATTTGTGATTTGGCTCATGTTATATTTCATACATAGAGTAAACTTATTTCCAATAATAACATCAGTATTTTGAATTATGTAGATAATACATGCATCATGTTAGGCCTATTACACGTGTAAGATTGAAGTTATTAACACAAGACACTTCTATTTTAGTAAAAGAAAAGTAAAATTTTTGAGAAAGCTTACTAGTTTCTATTGTGCCTCAGAAATCCTAAGGCATATTCTAAGATACATTATTAGAAATTTCTGTTTGCCAGTTACTCATTTCTATCCTGCATCCCCAGTGGAACATATGAAACCAGTGTTGTTCATTTCATACTTTCCAGATGGGCATCAATTGTTTCATAACAATGAGATGCATGAATTTTTCCATTAAAATGTTTTCTCTCACTTAAAATTGGTTATCTTCAACAAATGCACAGGAATAAAAGGATGATCATTTGTGTTGTTTAAGAAAGTAAATGTACTTCGGTAATACTTTATTCTGCCTTATTTCAAAATGCTTCAAAAACGTGAATCTGGAACTTCTCTGCATTGACCACTGTTCTGGAGTCGGGCTGATAGAAAACTGGGGTGAAGAAAGTTTAGATCAGAGGCTGTGGCAGAGCAAAGTATTACTGATGTGTCTCTTAACAGTGAGGGAGGAGGTTGGGTCCTTGTCAAGTGTCAGCTGCCCTATACATAGTTCCCTTGCCCCTTGTGCCCTGTTTTACTATTTCTAAAGTGATTCCCACAATGGCATTTCTTGATGAGCCAATTTTGAGCCATTTAATGTGTTGTACGTGTTTCTGTGAGTCTGATAATACCAGCACTAACACCAGTTCAGTATACAGACATTTACAAGAAGTCTTTGGCCTCTTCAGAATTCAATTAATGTCTTTCTCTTTGAAGCTGCTGAATGATAGGTAAGAATTCATGGCAAGCATTCCCAACCATCATCAAAGTGGAGACTTGGAGTTTCTATTGGCTGGAAGAAAGTCGACCCACAGGCAAAACCAGATGTAAACCAAGTTTGTCTTGGGTACTTTTCAAATTCT